CGACAGTGAGACCTGGAGAGGGGTGATCGGGAGGAACGGCCTCCCTGATCTGAACCCGAATGGTGTTGTGTTGTTGGACTTTTGTGCTAGTCACAGTTTGTCCATCATGAACACCATGTTCGAGGACAAAGGTGTCCACATGTGCACGTGGCACCAGGACACCCTAGGCTGGAGGTCGATGATCGACTTTGTAGTTGTATCATCAGACCTCCGGCCGCGGGTCTCAGACACTCGGGTAACGAGAGGGGCAGAGCTGTCCACCGATCACCACCTGGTGGTGAGTTGGATCCGCTGGCAGGGGAAGAAGCTGGTCAGACCTGGCAGACCTAAACGTATCGTGAGGGTCTTTTGGGAACGTCTGGCAGAACCCTCTGTCAGCAGGGTTTTCAACTCCCAGACCTTCTCCCAGATTCCGAGGGAGGTTGAAGACATGGAGGCCGTGTGGTCCATGTTCTCCTTCTCCATTGTTCCTGTGGCTGCTCGTAGTTGTGGTCATAAGGTCTCTGGTGCCTGTCACGGCGGCACTCCCTGAACCCTGTGATGGCAACCGGAAGTAAGGGATGCCATCAAGCTGAAGAAGGAGTCCTACCTGTCATTTTTTGGCTTGTGGGACTCCCGAGGCAGCTGACGGGTACTGGCAGGCCAAGCATGCAGCAGCTCGTGCAGTCACAGAGGCAAAAACTCGGGTCTGGGAGGAGTTCGGGGAGGCCATGGAGGAGGACTATCGGTTGGCCTCGAAGAAATTCTGGCAAACCGTCCAGTGCCTCAGGAGGGGAAAGCAGCTCTCCAACAACATTGTTTACAGTGCAGGTGGGGACCTCCTGACCTCGACTGGGGAGGTCGTCGGGTGGTGGAAGGAGTACTTTGAAGGTCACCTCAATCTCACCGTCACGTCTTCCGAAGAGGAAGCAGAGACTGTGGACTCAGAGGCGGACTCGTCCATCACCCGGGCTGAAGTCACCGAAGTGGTTAGAAAGCTCCTCAGTGTCAGAGCTCCGGGGGTGGATGAGATCCGTCCCGAATACCGTAAGTCTCTGGATGTTGTGGGACTGTCTTGGTTGACACGTCTCTGCAACATCGCGTGGCAATCGGGGACAGTGCCTCTGGACTGGCAGACCAGGGTGGTGGTCCCTCTGTTTAAGAAGGGGAATCGGAGGGTGTGTTCCAACTACAGAGGGATCACGCTCCTCAGCCTCCCCGGTAAGGTCTATTTCAGGGTACTGGAGAGGAGGATCCAACCGATAATCGAACCTCGGATTCAGGAGGAGCAGTCTGGTTTTCGTCCCGGTCGCAGCACACTGGACCAGCTCTATACCCTCCATCAGGGGCTCAAGGGTTCGTGGGAGTTTGCCCAACCAGTCCACATGTGTTTTGTGGATCTGGAGAAGGTGTTCAACCGTGCTCCTCGTGGCATCCTGTGGGGGGTGCTTCGGGAGTATGGGGTGCGGGGCCCTCTGTTAAGGGCTGTCCGTTCCCTCTACGACCGCAACAGGAGTATGGTTCGCATCGCCGGTTGTAAGTCAGACCTGTTCCCAGTGCGCACTGGCCTCCGCCAGGGCTGCCCTTTGTCACCGGTTCTGTTCATTATTTTTATGGACAGAATTTCTCAGCACAGCCAGGGGGAGGAAGGGGTTCGGTTTGGGAGCCACAGAATTTCATCTCTGCTGTTTGCAGATGATGTTGTTCTGTTGGCTTCATCAAGCCAGGACCTCCAGCGTGCACTGGGGCAGTTTGCAGCCGAGTGTGGGGCGAGCGGAACGAGGATCAGCACCTCCAAATCCGAGGCCATGGTTCTCGACCAGAAAAAGGTGGCTTGCCCTCTCCGGGTCGGTGGAGAGACCTTGCCTCAAGTGGAGGAGTTCAAGTATCTCGGGGTCTTGTTCACGAGTGAGGGGCAGATGGAGCGTGAGATTGACAGACGGATCGGTGCAGCGTCTGCAGTGTTGCGGTCACTGTACCGGACCATCGTGGTGAAGAGAGAGCTGAGCAAGGCAGCAAAGCTCTCGATTTACCGGTCAATCTACGTCCCAACCCTCACCTATGGTCATGAGATCTGGGTAATGACCGAAAGAACGAGATCACGGATACAAGCGACCGAAATGAGTTTCCTCCGCAGGGTGGCTGGGTGTCCCTTAGATAGGGTGAGGAGCTCAGTCACGCGGGAGGAGCTCGGAGTAGAGCCGCTGCTCCTCCACGTCCAAAGGAGCGAGCTGAGGAGGCTCGGGCATCTTTTTTGGATGCCTCCTGGACGCCTCCCTGGAGAGGTGTTCTGGGCGCGTCCCACCAGGAGGAGGTCTCGGGGAAGATCCAGGACACGCTGGAGAGTTTATGTCTCTCAACATACCTGGGAACCAGGCCTGGGAACGCCTAGGGGTCCCTGCGGAAGAGCTGGAGGAGGTGTGTGCGGATCGGGAAGTCTGGGCGGCTCTGCCAAAGCTGCTGCCTCCGCAACCTGACTCCGGATAATGCAGAAGAAGATGGCTGGCTGGCTGGCTGGCTGGCTGGCTGGCTGGCTGGCTGGCTGGCTGGCTGGCTGGCTGGATGGATGGATGGATGGATGGATGGATGGATGGATGGATGGATGGATGGATGGATGGATGCTT